ATGTTAGAGATTAATTTTTGTATTGTTTGTTGYATWCTAAACAGTGATAAATTTATTGGGTCAAGAATTCATTTTTTTTTCAGTACTTACTGATTTATAAAAATGCTTTCTTGTATTGTATTATGATGTATTTAATATTTATACATACGTGCAAAACATTTACAGATAAAATTTAAACATTTTCCAATTCCCACCAAAGTCTATAAATAATGATCTCTTCCAAACAATATACTTCTACAGAACCATCGAAAATTCYTAAAAGATAAACATACCAGTATTCTGTTGCATAATATACAATTGTTACCAATAATCTGTTTTTTGTGCACCTATGGTTAGGTTAGGTAATTACCGAAAAAGTTACTTTATACTTAGGGACAGTATGTGGTATACTACTGTGTGTATTATTATAATGTTATAGCAGGGATAGCCCGATAGGTGACCATTGATGCGTAAATATGGGGAAAGGCTAACCCACCCCTCGTCCCAACAAACATAGCCAACATTCCTTTAAAGCTTATTCAATGTTATTATAGTAAGACTTCAGCTCCCTCTAATCTCAACTACTATTAGCGCAATCGTGTCTATTGGTAGGTACTTATAARGTATATAGGTATATAATTATAATTATTTATTGGACATATTGTATATGTGCCTGAATAAGCATACTAAATAATATACCTCAAGTCTAAAAAAAACACGTGCCTACACGTGTACTGAGCTTGTTTTACACGGGAATATATAAAAAAAAAAACGATTGCTGCAGTACGTATGAGTGTATGACGAAGAAAATTTGAGAAACATTATAAAATTATAATGTTTGACCATTTCGCGAAGTGGAAGTTTTATACAAACTAGACTAATGTAATGTGTATGTGTATTCTCACGTCTACCGCCACCTCRACATTACCGGATGACATTTACCACCGTAATAGTGTATCGTATAATACATACATTACATTATAATTTTACATAATATACTATACATGGTGATTAGTTATTTAGCAAACCGAGCGTCATCGTATTAAGGCACAGGRCACATGTTTTCTTCGTTCAGTTTTACTCAGTGTTATATCCAAGTATACTGTAGGGGAAGAGAATTGCCCCCCCCTAGAATATAATTCATTCCCCATACAATGACAATAAAAAATGAATATCAACAAAATGTATTTATTAAATGTATAACACTAGTTTTGTATCCACCTACAATTCACACGATATTTCACATCGAAATACTTGGACTTAGGTACCGATAAAATAAATATAATTAATTGTGATGCTATTATATTGAATTTCAAATATCAAATATATTTTATTCATTGTAATAAGTAATAATATATTTGATATTACTAGTGAGTATGATGAATGAAAAAATGAGCATTCCCAGCACAATTGTCTGGATTGAGTACCGGTTTTACTTGTTGTGTTTTCCAACTATTATGGGCCCCTATCGTTCTTTTGTGAAAATTATTCAAAAACTACGAGTATGATTTTACCCTCGACAATTTAAAATTTTAACCACGTAGGTACAATATAATATAATATATCACCCGTTTTTACGGTAAAGAAAATATCAAAAAAAAAATCACCTTGTATGCACATCGAACGGTAACAACTATAATACAGCTACTGGTTTAGTGTGCTCCACCGTGGCGTTGTGCAGAACAAAGATAACAACCCAACGTTTACTTTGAATGGTGTTTTGGCCAAACGTGAAAACCRACGACACCACAACGATACCAAAATTTGATAACGATAGTTAAAATCACGACCCTCACAAAGTCGCACAAAAGACGACACAACTTYGCACTGTTCAAACACAAACACAACACGCCGCGCGCATATGTAACATTGTAATATATAATCGTTTATATGATACACAAGCCACGGAAGGCTTTTGAATGTAATATTTAGCGTTAATGCGTATTATTATAATGCGCCCAAGTGTAATGATGTGTGTATATACGATATATTATATTATAATATACACACTTCTGCGATATATTATTATGGGTGAAATGACATGACTCAATATTATAATAACATTATAATATAGTCGCTCGACACGACGTGTTTTAAATCGAACAGTTTTCGTGAACGAATTCATTCAATATAAATATATAATATATTGTTTGCTTGAGTATTCGTTTTATTTCCCCCTCGTCTGACGCACATTGCATGTATGTGCAAATATTCTCCAAGCTTGGACGATTTAATCGCTAAACATACCTATACGTTTCGAACAGGTTATCCTTAGATAACTGCTACTACCTATGTCGCCGCCGCAGTGGCATATGTATCTAAATCGAAAAAAACGCACGAATCGTCGCCCATCGGTTGTTCTATTGTCTGCGGTAGACGGGAGATTTCAAACATATATTCACAAAAATACCTCAAAACGAGTAAAAATATAGGTCATTCGTTTGTTCGATGATGGTTAATAAAAATGTAAAGCAATCAAACCGAGGGCGGACCGAACTGGCAAAACGACGAGAGATTTCATATTGTCCCAATCCGCTTCTCAATCAAACATCATATTTCAATAGTTCAATATTTTTAATAATTGAATCACTTTTAAAATTGGAAATGGATAGCTTTCGTTGTTGACTATATATTTCTTAAATGTGGGCGAGTGTGTAACCGATCTGTTGTACAGTAGGCGGATATCAAGTGTAACTCGTTATTGAGTATAAGTCACTGTTATGCATGTGATACATAATATTTTTAATTCAAATATAAATCATAGCATACAAAAAATGATTCTAAGCGGAGACAGTCTGTCAGCCTATATTACAAAATACTAATTACATTTTAAGATATATTTATATTGCTATAATATTATAGTAATTTATGTTATAATTAGCAATGTGACAAGTCAAGTTATTTTTTGCCAAATTATCACATTTATTACCTAAGTTATTAAATTTATTATTCTAATAGTTCATATAAATTCATATTATATCTATACATTTTTACTATACACATTTGAGACAACACAGGCTTGCCATAGTTATGGTATAAATAAGTTGAAATTATATAATATAGACAATAGGCATAGCTCTTACAAATTATTTAAATATTTTTGAAACTTTATAATTATGTATGATAAATAATAGTAAAGACATTAACGTAGAGTTTCAATTTAAAACAAATAATATTTTTTGAATTAGGTACGAAAAAATTTGTTAATTTTCTTATAAATTTACGATTCTGTCGAATTTGAACTTGAAATGTAAATATCAAAATATTGTACATAAMTATATATTTTTGAAATTTTTGGGTTTCTACAATAACCACTTACAAGGAATTAAATGTKTATGTCATTAGTATCGACGTTGAAATGTATATACATTTTTAACTACAAAATAATTTGTAAATGATCGAGATCATTACGAATTTATCAATATATTGTATATATTATATTGTATACACGAGTAAGAAAAAATTAAACTTTGATTAGTACCTATTTTGATGGGAAGTAAAAATGGTTCGTACATTTAAGATGTCAAAATAAAAAATTTCCACGACCTACCATTAAGTTATTTATAAAAATTTGATATTTGCAATTATTTTAGTTTTTTTCACATAAATATTGATACAAATGTTCCGAAGTTAAAATAGTTGAAAATTTTGAAAATTTAAAACAAGGTTCCTCATAATCTGTTGTTATAGATATTTAAAAATATTTCAGACGCGGTAAACTTGACACCGACTATATTGAAAAATAGTTACYGGCTTACTTACTCCTCTTTGTTTTTTAATTGAATTACAGAAGAACGTTGTAAATGTTTATAACATTGATGATTTATGTAAAAATTTGAACTTAAGTTTGAAAATTATAACTAAAAAAATTGTAGCTTTGTATTTCGGTAAGAAATTCTCAAAAGATACCTTGTATTCAACTATTTTCAAGGTGTTTTACTTACAAAAAACATTTAATTACACATAAATCGAAAAAACCTAAAGAAAAGTCAAATATTTAAAATATCTACAAATTGTATAAAAAGATTAAAAATGAAAATTATGTCATGTCTCATTGAAATATTTATACAAATATTAGGACTACACATTTTCAAATTTTAATTTATTCTTTATTAATAATAATAACAAAAAAAATTGTTTATGTCCAAGATTAACTCATGTTTTTCCTTAATTGTCTTTTGAAAGTATTGGACATTTTTACTTTTTACCTCCCAAGTCCCAAGACTTGAAATGATTTGATAACAGAAGCATCTATAGATGTTGAAGATCGAAATATTTTTTCTACTGTAACACGTACAAAATAAACAACACATGATATCATTATCAATAGTCTTTTTTGTCCATATTATACATAGCATCGACCTGCTCTGAATCTAAATATAATAAGCAATTTTTTTGACTTAAAACGTCATAATATTTCATGACACCTAATATTCACGTATATACTATAATATAAAGATGATTGAATAAAAATAATTTTAAATATAATATATTATATTATATTACTGATTAACAACCGTAACAGCAAATATTACTRACTGTGTACGGGRTTAAAAAATACACTCGAGCGCACACCATCCACCGTACACATTCGTTCACGCGGATTTGAATGCAAACGGGTCGTAAAACAATATCGCATAATGGTTTCAAACTGAAAGAGCGTGAAATTCGGTCACGGATTCCGAAATCTCACGACACTCGACYCGTGCACAGACGGTTCCCTATTTTCGATAGACTTTCGAGTATAATATTATAATTAATTCTGCACTCAACAATTAGCAAGCATACGTCTAAACAGTAGGAATACACCGCGACACGCCATCATCTATAATATTATGTATAGTATAATGCATGAGATATTACGTGATCCGAAGACACCTTGAACTCAATAATATTCCAGATTTTGTCATTTGCGACGAACAACAACGATGACACAACATTATACATTGGTACCGGTTCTCGACATTGCCACCGACCGGATTGTCATCGTTTTAATTTTTTTCACCACCGCACATGAAGTCCGGACACTCGCCATACACCCGCAAACATATATATAGTCGATGGGCCAAGCTCAGTAATCATCATTCAACCGAGCTCCTTCCAATCATCGACATTCAACACGATGAAAATCGTAAGTACCTATATATATAAAGATTTTATAGCGATTCGTTTCATTGCTTAATATATAATATATTTACCTGCCTCTACTGTAACGAAATAGCAATGTTTTGACTTAAAAATAGTTGACATACTTTCTGAGGGACTATTTTATTCTAGTATATTTTGCCTTATTAACCGTATACTGCGTGTGATTTCAGACAACAGCTGTCGTTGTATTGGCCATCGTAGCCCTCGTCAGTGCCGACGCGCTCAAAGGTACTAAGAAGATCAAAAAGAGAACCTTGTTTGAACTATCTGGTCTGGGACACAATTCGGGCCTCAGTTACGGCTCCGGTCTGGGCTACAGCTCAGGACTTAAATTCGGTTCCGGTCTTGGCTACAGTTCCGGTTTAGGATACAGCTCCGGTTTGACCTATGGCTCCGGTTTGGGATACAGCTCCGGTTTGAAATACGGTTCCGGTCTCGGATACAGCTCCGGTTTGGGATACGGTTCTGGTTTAAGCTATGGTTCTAGTTCTGGATTGTCATCCGGTTTGGGATACTCCAGCGCCCCAGCACCGACCACTGGTCCACTCATACCGATCTCCAAGGAAGTGCACATCATCAACCGACATGCTCAACCAGTATCCGCCCCATACCCAGTACCAGTTCAACACGACGTGCCCGTCGCTGTACCACACCCAGTGCCATACGCAGTTGACAGCCCATACCCAGTCAAAGTACCTGCCCCATACCCCGTRCCGGTCGAAAGGCCAGTCCCATACGCAGTCGACAGGCCAGTTCCTCGTCCAGTGGCATCCCCATACCCAGTCCCTGTTGTCCACGACGTTCCCGTACCCGTGTCCAAACCATACGCAGTTCCAGTAGTCAAACAAATCCCTGTGCCAGTAGCCAGCCCAGTCGTCGTGCACGAATCAGCCCCTCTGATCACATCCAGCTATAGCTCTGAACATGCAACGTCTGATATCGGTTTGGGTTACGGTTCCAATTACGGCTCCGGTTATGGACTATCGTCATACGGCTTTGGAGGCCACTTCAGTGGAGATCTGTCTTCATACGGTCACGGACACAGCTTCGATTACAAGAAGTAGAACATTCATAGCGATTACAGCCTAACCAAACATCATTGAATCTTCTATAAATTGTATAGACAATTTTCCTTATATAATGTTGTTAATAACTGTTGATTATTAACTAAAATAAATTTTTGTTTTTTTCTATATTAATTGTTTGTCATTACAAGTCTATGCCTTTCCTAATCTTATAATTTCGTAGAAAAAAACTATTGAATTATCATTTTTATTTTTAATATTTTTTTTTTTTGATCAAAATATGATAGACCAATATTGGCTGTTTCCAAAACAATGTAATTTAATAAAAGTTGAATAAATTTCGGTTATGAATTTAATTTGGCAATTTTAATCACTTAAATTGTGCCATTGTCTATTATTATAATGAAATCCTTGAATTGACARTTATTTTTATTTATCAAATACGTATAATAATTAACTACATATTTAATGATAGGTAAATACATTTAGATGTTTAAGGTTATTTTATTCTTTTATATTTTCAAGCCGAACTTGTACCTACATTAATTCATTTAAATTTATAATACTTCATAATAATTTATTTAAATTCATTTTAAGACAATTTTTATTTTTTATGCTAAGAATGATTAAATTTTAATGAGATTCGTATGTKTTTTCTAACATCCTCTTTAAATATAATCATTACCTAATCTGTTTCATTAGAAAATATAAATATAGAAAAAGTTTTAAATCTCGTTCTATTATTCATCTCCAAGTTTCTAGCTTTTAATCAAAATAATATMAATTTAATATTTGTTTTATAATGAATTAATTTGATTAATAATTGTTTGAAACAAAAATTATATATTTTTTAAGCTAATTCAAAAAAATATGTCATCATAATAATCTCCTTAAATTTAAATTATGTTTTGGATATCTTGATGATTTAGTACTTTTAGACCATTTAGTTATAATAATAATTGTGATCACATAATTATATCTTAGCTTATGAAGTAATCAATAATTAATGAACCTATTAATTACTCTGGTTGTCTGATGTTAGTTGTCATGGACAATGAACAACAAAAATATCATTTTAAATTTATTTATTAAATTAAGTCCTAATTGCAATTAGATAGTTTATTTTAATACACWCTATTATTAAATATAGCTTATGAAATACGATTTTGGTTACGAAATTAATATGTTTATTTATCAGCTTATTATTAAAAATAACACTAAGGCTGGTTCTCACAATGTCCAGTTAAGTATCCGTTACTTTAGCCGGATATTGTAAGAACGCCTCTAAGAATTAAAATTATTATTATTTTGTAATTTGACGATATATTATTTTGATTATAAAATTGAAAAGAATTTATACCCGATACTAACGAAACTTGTTTATTAAAAATCAATAATACGAAAAAAAAAATATCTATTCATCCCACAAAATAAATGTAACCGAATATTGTACAATCCAATATACCGCAAGCAGTTCATAAACCATGACACGTCACGGTGGTAACCAATTTATCTGTAGTGGTGTTTCAAAAGCTGTGTATGTGGTAGTTTTTGTTTTCAACTTTGATTAGTTTTAACACAAGCTGGTACCTAACGACTCCAACAGTACGGAATTTTATAAACGACGTTAACCAATATTTAAGTGTGTTTTTTTATACTTTCCCCCCGAACAGCTGTATAGTGTATACATTATTATAATTGCACGTTTCGCGATTATTTATAAACAGCATTTTTTTCGTTTCGTATTTTGCCCCATGTATCAACACACATACTTTGTTTCCATTAATAATTCAACTATGGTAATGATACAGGTCCTTGGTTACACCTAAATATTATGAAACAACAATAAATTATGTGTAAATAATTCACACGATACGCCGCCATTTTATACGTCGACTTCGGTGAAATAATTTAGGCAAATATTATAATATAGATAAACTAAATAGGTAATACGACATAACATAGAGTAAAAATATATAGAGAGATCTTATCGTATCTACTCTTTGCTATAGTTTTGAAGTATGTMAAAAGTGTACCGTCAGAGTGACAACTACGTTAATATAAAAATTATGGAACCCAATTTGAACCTAGTGTTTGGGTAAATCGTCTAAATAATATTAACCCACGATTAAWCTGTACATTTAATTTAAAATCTGTACATTAATTTGTATATTAGAGCCATACTGACTTTTTTTATYAATTAATTTAATTGTGTCAATACACCAGATATTTTTATAATTTTAGGTACAATATACGATCAATATGATTACAATATTATGTTTATRACAATATTTAAATTATTACAATGATTTTTTAATTTTGGTTAGCTTATAAATCCAGATCAAAATCTGAGATTGACGTGTCTTCTTTGGGTTGTAGTAGGATATCCTATGGTAGYCGAGGTTTAAGTCATAGATTGGTGGCTGCTCTACTGATTTTGAAGTAGAGTGTTCCRTCAACTTAACTTAATAATACCTTAATAGTACTGAAAATTTGTTTTTATTATTCGGTAACTCGTAACTAAAAATCTCCCCTCTTTGCTTGCTTTATTTGCTTTATCTAACTTTATTTAACGTCTTGTAATATAATAAGATATTCTTCGATATACAATATAATATTATATAATACCATTGTTTATAAAAATTAGCAATAAATGATGATAAGTATTCATAGTATATATTATTATAGTATATAGTTATCAATGATAATTGATAATAGTAACAGACGTGAAGATCATAATATAGACGACTGAGTTCGGTAGATCAGTTATCGGTGATTTGGGAGTCACCAGATCAAAACATGGTCTTTCTAATTTGTATTTTGTATGAATTGAAATTATCTGTAATATATTTAATAAACTAAATAAAGCAATTTAATATATTTTCCAAACCTGAAGTGTTTTTAGAATTTTCGTGAGTAGTACAATTTGACACATTTAAATACAACTTATCACCGTAAAAACTGTTGAAGTGTAAAAGCTATCATATTATTATGACTAGAATCATTTAGATTTTGAAAAATAGATATTAGATTTATTATCTGTTGGTCCGATTTGAAGCTTGATCTATAAACGATTGACAAACGAATTATAATTTTGCCTAATTTCATATTTTATTTTTTTTTTTTTGGTTTCATTAATTATTTACTTTTAAGTTGATATATTTGAATTATATACTATATATATATATATATATATATATTGTACAAAAAAATAAGTTATAAAGTTATACTATATACTATACTTTTTGGAATATTTAAATGCTTATGATAATTTTCATATTATGGTTTCTGTAGGATTGAATAGCAATTGGTTAATAACTAATTTATCATATAACGTTAACGATATGATACGGACAATAAATCGTGGGAGTGAGTACATCATATAAGTAGTCATATGTCATAGAAATAAACAAATTTTAGGTGACATGTATAATTTAAAGAAAATGTCCACATAACTGTTGTAGGTACATCATCTACGAGATATTTGCATTATACGTTTAGTGTTTTTTTTTAAATCTTACTTTTTAACTAAGTGTCACGTGTAGTGTAACAATTATTTTATGATCTTCTTGTATCATAACATATACTGTGTTTAATTACTACACAAACATTAAGGCGTCAAATAATGAGTTTAAAAGAAAAATAGGTATAAGTAATCTGTTTTTAAATATTTTTCAGAGTTATAAGTATTGCAAACATCCAAACTTTAATATTATAAACATGTTAAATGTATATTTTTTTTTTAAACAAATTATTCTTATTTATGATGGACAATTTATAATACTTAACGTGAAGGATGTTTATTAAAATAACAAAAAGGTTAAGGACTACTGAAATAAACGATAAATAAAATGAAATAGGGCTATAAAAAACCCTTAAATTTTTTTGTACTCAACGATATATTGTATAATAGTATTTAAGAATCGATTAGTTGAATATTGATTAATTTTTTTATGCAAAAAGTTTAGCACAAATAAWTAATTTTCTTAATAATATCTTTTAGAGGTCCAGCCCACGATTTATTATATTTTATACGCGCTTTTCTACCATTTTCAGTACATAGTAGTCGCTAGGCCCTAATTTTCAATTAATTTAATAGACTATTAGATAAAATCATAATATAATATGAGCTTATTAAGAAAGTACACAATATATTGCATCTATAGTCATAGTGAATATAGTATTTACTTTCAATTCTGCGTACAAAAATTAGGTATACCCAATATTATGACTTATATTATGATATTTTTTTTAGATATATGCATAATGTATTGAGGACTTGTAAGTTTGTTTGAGTGTGGGAAATGGAAATCAAATATCAAATGCCAGAATATATTTGTTTATATTATATATATATATATATATACCGGTAGAGATAACACGCAAGAAAAAATACAAAACAGTAAAGCATCACGACGATACTCGTTAAAGTTGAACTTGTTACTGAAACTATACACCAAATATCTTACATTATGTAGGCAAGTGTTAAAAGCAACTCTAACATGTACAATCGGCCTACATAT